CACCCACACCCACACCCACACACCCACACCCACACTCACACCCACACCCACACACCCACACTCACACCCACACCCTTAACACAAAATAAAATAAAATGTCATTAACTGTCGATTGTCGATTACAATTCATGTATATGTCGTTGCAAGTTGCTCACAACAAATAACAACTTACTGCTTCAGTATGTCAGTAAAAAATATCAATGCACTAAGTATGTGTAGAGGCAGTAAAGAATGACTTCCCTAGTCGCTTTTTAAGATGAAAGGAAAGAGAAAAAGATGCGTATAAAAAATGAAAGATAATCGAAAACAGAAAGCAAGCAGTTCGAAGGTTTGTCAACAGTGGTTCTCTGTCATCATGGCGACGGCCGTTTCTGCGACTGATAGTTTTCAAAATCAGCAAAATAATGAGCAAGTAACACGTTTGATTTTACTTGGTATGACAGGTGGTGGTATGCATCATTCTTTGATTTTTTTTTGTTTGAAATGTCAGACAAAATTTTAATATTAATTATCTAACTATATTCACCAAACGTTTGAGAAAATTTCCAAATACACTAAAAACATTTGGCATTAAAATGATTATTACGGTCTTTTCTTAAGAATCTTTGTATTAAATATTTGAAAAGAAACTTATGATAATGAAGGTTTTTTCTTCTCTTAACAAGAAGTTTAAATTTCAAGACTTATACCTTCTATTGCCTTTTTAAAAAGATATATTTTAAAAAAGTCTCTAAATTACTTTTAGGTAAAAGTTCTTTGGGCAATACATTGCTTAATTTCAAACGATTCAAAGCTAGAGCATCAACGACTTCTGTCACCAAGAATTGTCAAGTTGGTTATCGAAATTTTAACAATCGACATCTTGTTGTTGTTGATACTCCAGGATTCTTTGATAATCATGCTAATGCTAATGAGAATGATAATGATAGTGATAGTGATAATAATAATAATAGTGCTAATGATAATGATAATGATAGTGATAATGATAATGATAATGATAGTGATAGTGATAATGATAATTATAATGATAATGATAAAAAAACATGTATTAAAATTGGTCAATCACTTCAAACAACAGTTCCAGGTCCACATGCATTTCTTATTGTACTTTCACTTAGTGCAGGAGGACGAGTAACAAAAGAAGTTAAAAGAGGATATAAATGGATAACGATGATATTCGGCGATCGTGTATTAAACTATTGTATTATTATCTTTACTGGATTAGATAATCTTAATGAAGATGGACAAACAGTGACACAATATTTAGCAAAGCGTAAACAGCCTTTAGCTAAATTAATGGAAAAATGTGGTGAACGATACGTGGCTTTTAATAATCGGGCTTCGCTAGAAGAAAAAAATAATAAAATTCAAGAATTATTAGATTTAATTGATCGTGTTATACAAAATAATGGTAATCAAGTGTTCACGAATAAAGAAATTGAAGCAATTAGCAAAGTTGTACAAGAAGAAAATGAGAAGGGTGGATTTATACCAAATCTCCCAGATGGAAGCATTATTCTACTACCACAAACAGAGAAAATTGTTGTCGAGGCTTATATGCGCAGACCTGTTCTTCGAAGAGACATGTACATGTCGTGATCTTTTTATTTTAAAATGTTTTTATTCTGATTTTGAACTTTATGATAACGATTGCATTGTAGAAAATAGAATTATTCATTCTTTCTCTGCACTGCTCATATGGGTTTAACTTTTATTTTAGATTATAACAAACCATACTAAATAAAACAAAAATGAATATTTTATGGTTACATGACAATATCAATGATCATAAAGAACTTGATAAACAATTAAAAAATTTTGAAAAACCGATTATAAATTTTACTGATGATCGATCATGTATAGCTTTCCTAAAAACTTCTGAGCAGGAAAACAATGATCGACCATCGGTTCTTATTGTTCTCAATCGAATAGGTCGTCAAATAGTGCCTGAAATACATTCATATACAACTTTATTATCCATTGTTATTTTTTGTACAAAAAATGATAACAAAATAAAATGGGCGAACAAATACAATAAAGTAGATTTTCTTTATATCTATATTTGTGCAGCTAAACTTTAGTAATTTTTTCACATAGATCAGAGGCATTTTCATAGATCCAAAAGAACTTAAAACATATGTTCGACAAGTGATCCAAATATCGGGTCTTGTAAGATGATAATGACTGTCAACATTAACTTATGATTTTTTTTAGGTTAAATCGTTTTCATGTCAGTTAGTGTTACTCGATGAACATCCTAATGAGATAATTCAACAGCAACTTTACCGACTTGATTCATCATTAATCATAATTAAACGAATCCATTCATGTCTTAGTCATTTCCGATCTGTTACATATAAACGTCCATTGATGTTAATTTCTACAAATGCCTTAGGACGACAAATTGTGCCTGAAATCCATTCTGATAATCAGTTAAAGGCAATCTTTATTTATTATGTTAAAAATGACACAAAAATTAGATGGACTACTAAATACAACAAAGTAAGGAAGTTGAAAAGAGACTTCAAATTCAATTGAACGAAAACATTTTTTAGATTAAACTAGTAACAACAAACATAATTGACTTAATAAATGGTATAAGAAATGAAGGTTTATACTATAGCGCTGTACGTATCATTGTGTGGCTGTACTTAAAACTGTAATCATCATTTTTAAGTTACTTTGGCATCTTGTTTGTCTCGACGATCATAGCGATGAAGTGCTTCGACATCATCTCTATGAACTTGATCCTTGTATAAGAACATTCGATCGATTTGATATATGTCAAACATATCTTGATTCAATTAATCAACGTACCATTGCTACGAAACCGGTTCTATTTGTTGCTATTAACAGGATGGGGCGACAATTTATACCTGAAATTCATTCAAATGATCGACTTAAAGCTTTTTATATTTTTATTTCCTCAGATTCAACTAACGATCGAAAAACCAAATGGACTACAAAATATAACAAGGTAAAACTGTATTACATTTAGTTCGTTTCAATTTTAACTTAATTACTATGTAGATAAAACGTGTATGCGCCGATATCAATCAATTGATCGCATATATTAAACAAGATGCTGCTGTTCTCACACATAGCATCATTCGAAGTATGTCAATTATCATTCACTTTCTTTCAGAAATATACTGAATATTTACTATGATTGAAAGTTTATTTGACTTTAATTTGAGTTCCTATAATTGCTCCTGTTTATCGTTTAGATTATCAAGATATTCATAATGTTTCGCCGTCTTCAACAAAACCTGGTAATTATATATATATTCATTGATCCTTAATTCTAAAAACGAAACTAAATTGAGAAAATTTCATTTGAATATAAAAAAGTTAATTGGATCTCTAAATATATATTAAAATTGATTTGTTCTTACCTTTCCAATTTTCTTTTCAGCAAGACAACGAAATTACCAAGATTATATAGTCTGCTGGCTCGATTTGAATATTGATGAGACAAACAATGATTATCAATATTCTATTTCTCTACTGTATCAAATCGTGGATACTATTCACACATTTACTAATGCGGATGATTGTATAGATTATCTTACCGATTTAACGGATGAAAAAATATCTTTTATTGTTTCTGATGCTTTTGGTCAACATATTGTACCATTAATTCATGAAATACCGCAAATTAAATCAATCTATGTATTTTGTGGTGTAAATAAATCGAATTATGAAGCATGGGCTAAAGAGTATGAAAAAATAAAAGGTGTCTTCACTCAAATTGAATCCATTTGTGATAGACTTAAGCAAGATGTTCGTCAATCAAATCATAATTTAATAGCAGTTAGTTTTGTCCCATCATTTGACTCGTTCATTAATGTCAACTCAGATCAACTGGATCCGTCATTTATGTATACACAGCTACTCAAAAACATTCTTCTCGACATGAAGTATGATGAAACAGCAAAGAGAGAATTCGTTAACTATTGTCGAAAACAGTTCGTTGGTAACGTTCATCAATTACGAGAAATTTATAGATTTGAACGAGAATATAATGACCACTCACCCATTTGGTGGTACACACACGGATTTGGCTTGTACTCTATGGTGAACAAAGCTTTGAGAACATTAGACATTGAACTTATCGTAAAAATTGGTTTTTTCATTTGCGATCTACATCGACATATTGAACAACTTCATGTGAACCAATTCAGTAGTCACTCGGTGCAACCATTTATTGTTTATCGTGGTCAAGGTTTGTCCAAGACAGACTTTGCCAAATTGAACAAAGCTAAAGGTGGTCTTATGTCGTTCAATAATTTCTTATCTACGAGTAGGGATAGAGACATCTCTCTAGCCTTTGCTGAATCCAACCAATCGAATCTTGGTCTAGTCGGTATCCTCTTTGTAATGACAATCGATCCATTGATTTCATCAACTCCATTTGCTTCAATACAAGACGTCAGTTACTTCCAAGACTCAGAAAATGAAGTTCTTTTCTCAATGCATACTGTATTTCGAATTGGTGGGATAAGAGGTATAGATAGAGAAAACAGACTGTGGCAGGTAGACCTTATTTTGACCAGTGATAATGATCGACAACTACAAGTGCTCACAGAGCATATACGTCAAAACATCGAAAGTGGGACAGGATTTCAACGATTGGGTGCTCTCATGCTTGAAATGGGACAATATGATAGGGCTCTGGAAGTGTATGAAACATTGCTCAACGCGACACATTTGAATGAAGATCAACAAAGAATCTCGTCACTGTACAATCAATTAGGAGCAATTTATAGTCGAAAACGAGACCTTGGCGAAGCTCTTGCTCATTATAAAAAATCACTGGAAATAAAACTAACTTATTTATCTCCTAACGATCCTTCGCTTTCTTCTATTTATAGCAATATTGGTAGTGTTTTGCGAAATCAAAATCAATTAAACGAAGCGTTAGAATACATGGAGCGAGCTCTTCACATCGAACTTCTAGCTCCACAACCCAATTCACTTAAAATTGCTTCCTATCATAACAATATTGGTCTCGTACTGACTGATCTGAATAATTTCAATAGTGCATTAATATATTATGAACAAGCGTTCAAAATTCAACAGAAATACTTGCCACCAAATCATCCTGATCTTGCCACATCATATAATAATATCGGCGCTATTTATAATGAACTTCAAGACTATAGCAAAGCTTTATCTTTTTACGAAAAATCTCTTGATATAATGCAACGATCGCTGCCACTCAACCATCCTGATCTTGCCGTGCCATACAATAATCTTGCCTCTATTTACAATGAACTTCAAGAATATAGTAAAGCTTTGTTATATTATGAAAAGTCTATACAAATCATGCAAAAATCATTACCACCAAATCATCCATTTTTAGCTCTCGCTTACCATAATTTGGCATTAACATTTTATCGTTTACGTTCGTATAAAACTGCACTAGAGTATGGTGAAAGAGCGATAGAAATATATTATCGTGCATTGGAACCTAATGATCCACAAGTGATAACTTGTCAAGAGACTCTGAATGCAATTCGTGAAAAATTATAAAAAAGATATATTTTAACAATAAGAATTTATTATTCACAATGCACTTTCTTTGTATTATTACAACTATCGTTTGTATGTTTCAGATCTTTTAGCTATCTCTCCATAGAAGTTTATTAATAACACAACGGACCCAACGATCGGCTACTACAACGCCTCAGTTTAATCCAATTTCTCTACTGATCATTGTATCTTGTTAAAAATCCAGTAACTGAACTGTTAGAGTATGTTATTAATGACTAAGGTTATAATCAGCTGTTTCTTTATTCTTCGTGACTATTTGGTATGAGTGCATATTAGAGCATAGAAGAAAAGAAAGTTTCGAAAGTGCTTTTGATAATTGTCGAAGAAACGATACCACGAACAAGATCAAGTTCTCATCCAAAAGCTTCAAGGCGGAAACTACACAAGAAGAGAGAATTTATTTTAACTAACAGAATGTATTGAAAATGAGATAGAGGTTCTATTATCGAGACCTTATCCAAGCAAACTTTGAAAAGCATACGATACGCGCGACGAGTGATCCAAAATTTGAAATTATATTCTTATTCACTCTGTTCCAGTTTTAGAAGCTCTCCATAGCCATCGAATTCCATATGTCGGGAAATTCGAGTTTGTGGCAAATTCAAATTCTTTAAAAGAACATCAACTTGTAACAAATCGGATGTATAGAGTTATTTTGGGGTGAGGGCAAAGCCCTTTGAGGAAGTGGAAGAATGAGGGTAAAGGAAAACCCTTGACTAGAGGCTAGTACCTTTATCCGTATACCTCTATACTTCTACGGATGTTCTCTAAAGAGTCCTCTGATTTCGATCTTGTTACAAGTTCAAATTCCCCATCAACTCATCGAATTTCGAGGAGTCGGACACTGTATCTCATTGAACGTTCATTTTCGATCCCTGGAACATATTTCTACATCTCAGAACTCACCGAAGTTTCAAGTACTTAGACAGCAGAAATCTATCGAAAGAATACTGCTAACTTGTTAGATGCCTTTCAACTACTCCGAATCCATCGAGGTTCCAACCATTTGAGGTGAAGGAACGTAGCAGAAGGATAAATTCGAAGACTTCGGTGGAAATAAACCTATCAGATGAATAGTTTTGACTGTTTGGTCTAATTTTGATTACGTGAAACTTCTTCAAAACTTCATTATGAGACATCCTTTGCTTTTATTCAATGACTTTGGCAGAATTATTTACGTTCGACATATACTTCGCTTTAATTCCATAATTTACTGAACAGTATTTATCATCCACTGATTCAAAACATAAAACAAATCCGTCCGCGCTCTTGACGAAGATATGGTCATATTGAATTATTATCGTTAAAAAATATTTTCCTAAATCTTAAAAAAGTAGAAACAAAAGTTGAAAAAACGTAAACAACTATCAAAGTATTATCTTTCTATGAATTAAAAAGATGATTTTCATAGAGGAATAATAGTTCATATGTAGTTTAAGTGCTCAATGAAAGCTAATTGTTAGTACCTATCTTCAAATCTGTTCCTCCGTGTATATTCGATAGATTCCGATAACTCAAAAATGAGACATCTTGAGGATAAAAAGCTTTTTTTTGTTCGAATTCCGGTTCCCACGAGAAAAAACATTCCAGTGGTCGAAAACTATCTATCAAAACGACCTAACATCGAGCCCTCAACTTATCGGAAAGCAGCAATACGAGCAATCGATCTGAAATTTTAATACTCATCGGATGCTTAGATCTATGCGTCGAAATATCTATCAAGTAGCAGGCTGAGTTTTGTGTTATAAGATTATGGAAATAAAATTGCATAAATATTTGTGATGGAAGAAAAGAAAGCTAAAGTTTTGGAGACTGACCATTACATAAAAATCTTCATTTCTTCTTGGAACGTCTCTACAAATACAGTTATCATTATTCATAAAATTTAAAAAATTGATGGATAAATAAATTGTGAATTAAGATTTACAGTAAATACATTAATACTCAATCAGATAAAATCGGTAAAAAATGTTTTTCTGCGCAGTCAAAAGGATTCTTTTTTTGAAAAAATGGGATTTTGAAGACGATAATGCCCACAAACTTCCCAGGTAAAAACTGATTGAAATCGATTATTTTTTTTGATCAAAATTCATTTAGAAGGGCACTATTTCAATCAATTTTTAATCAAAAACAATCCAATTTAATATGATTTTTTTAACGTTGTTTTTTTACATTGGTTACTGTTTTCAATAGGACAATTTGTTTTCTTAGCGTAAAAAGTACATATTCTAATGCGTAAAGATTTTTTGAAATGAGCCGCTGTATGCCTGGGTAGTTTTTCCAGAGGAAAACAACAGATTACAGAAGTTCAACACTTTGAAACTTCATGACACTTTATGAGCCTTTAAGACTCATAAAGTCTGTTATTTTCTCCTTTCAATAACGAAGCTATATTGTCTAAAAAGCTTTTTTAAATTTCCATAACAATTGTTCTATAAAATTCTATAATGGTGTAATTTTTTAAAATTCTTAAGATTCTAACTGAATATGGGCAACACAGGATGTATTGGAAGAAAATCAAATTATATAAAATTTAAGCAAAAAACCACCACTAACGAATTATTCTTTAAATTTACTTTAATTTGGCTTGATGATGAACAGAAAAAAAACTCAAGACTGAAATATTGTTTAAAACAAATGAATCAACAGCTGATACAATTGGATGACAGTGCTCTATGCGAAACATATATTAAGGAAAGACCTAATGATCACTTTAGTTTGATCGTCAGTCACAAACTTGGTAATATTCTTGTACCAGAAATTGACGAGCTACCGCAGTTGGATTCCGTTTTTGTTTACGACTTTTTATCTGGTGACATCTACAAATCATGGATGAATCCATGCCAAAAAGTAGCTCATTGCCTTATAACTGAAGTTATTTCACTCTTTTGTCTATATTAAGATTGTCAACGACGTATTCACTGATCTAGATCAACTTGAGGGTGCTATTATAGATCGTATTCAATCTTTAAAAAAGGTGTGTAGACACAATTTTATTCTATTAATCTAATTTGATTTCGAGCATTTTTAAAACACAGAAACATGTACGAATACTCAAAAGGAAACGAAAATGGATGTCTATACGTTTTTCTTGTTAAAATGTACGATAAGTTTAGTTCAATAGAAAGGATATAAAGTTTTCTTTGAACATGTTCACGACTGTTTGTATATCTTAGAAATACTCTTTAGTTTTCATTTGTATATGTGCATATATATGTAGATTGTAACCACTAATACTGAAATGACCAATGTCAACGACGATTCAATAACAACTTCTCCTGAAAATATAGTTAGATCCGCGGCGAATACTAGTTCAAATTCAGTTCCGATTACTTCTGATTCATCGTACTATCTTATATGGCTTGATACAGATGCCAACAATGATGAACCAACTAAAAATGAACTAAAATCTGTTATAAGATGTCAACTTTTGACGTTCGACAATGTCAATACTTGCGAGCAATATGTCTTCGACAATCCCAATGCTAGATTCATAATTATTGTCTCATATAAACTTGATTCCATAATTATACCAAGAATTGTTTCTCTTCAACAGATCATCACTATTTTTGTCTATTCGAAGAACAATACAGTAAATACTTATCGACCATGCACTGATCAATATCTTACCGTACGTGTTGCTTACGAAATCCCATTGAGAGAAGAGAATTTTATATTTTTTTCCAGAAAATTCAACCAATAGTGTCAGATTTATCAAAACTAAAAACTTTAGTTCAATACGAATTTCACAAATGTGGTCTCTATAGAACCGTAAGTTAATCTCAAACAACTTTTGGTAGCACAATTTTTTTTCCACTTGAAAATCTTAGGAATTCTTAAGTCTAACTTCTTAAAAATTTTATCGTAACTTTTGATATTTATTCAATATAAAATAGATTGGTGAAGAGATGAGAATAGTAAAGATGATGATGAGAGTTTAATGTATTCAATGATGCTTTTTGCCGGATTCAGAGCGAGGATGGATTCTATTACAAAAGATTTTCAAGTGTTTAAATAAATTCAATAACTTTCAAATGAATATATTACAATAGTATCCTAAAAGTTCTTGTTTTGATCATTTGTCGATTGTATATTTTTAGGATAGTAATGCTTCTAAGAATGATATAATAATAGATATATTTAATCAAAAAGAAATGGCAACTAAAAATTTAAAAATCGAAAAAGGAAATTTTCTATGGTTCAGACTCTTTGTTGAAGTGCTTATCCATATGAAAGATAATGCACGAGCGCATCATGATTTAGTAGAAATATTACGTGTGAACTATCCTCAGTCGAACTTCGTTGCTGATTTTAATCAAAATTATACAGCTGATAAAGCGATTGAATGGCTTACACGCGATGATTCATGCTTACTAAAAGAATTAAATAAAGCATTGAGACAACAACATTTAGATCATTTATTTATATTTCGATACATTATTAATGATATTTATCAACAACTTAGAACAGAATACGATAAAGAAATAAAAGACAAAGAAAAAACTCTCACTTTATATCGAAGTCAAGTCATATCTGAGTTCGAATTAAACCAACTTCTTCAAGCAAATACAGGTGAACTTATAGCAATTAATAGTTTTATGTCAACATGGAATGATCGAATGAAAGCTATTGATTTTCACAAAGAACAACATCATGTTGGTCTCAAACATATTTTATTTGAGATTGAAGTAGATTATACAAAAAAATCGCGGCCTTTCGCTCAAATAAATAGAAAAGAACAAGATTTAACATTGTTTATGCTTGGTTGTGTATTTCGTATTCGTTCAATTATGGAAGATCATACATTTCATTGTTACGTCATGAAAATTGAGTTATGTAGTGACGATGACTGTGATCTCAAAAATATATTTGATCACATGACAAAAGTTTTCATTCAACCTGAAACAGATTTGATTACATTGGGCAGTTTATTACATAGAATGGGAGAACTAGACAAAGCCCGTAAATATTTCCAGTTA